AAAAAAACACGGTCTCGAGACCGGAAATGTGGCTACGCCAATCTCAGGAGGACTCGCGCGCATCCCGCAACAAGCAAGCTCCACAAATGAGCGCGGAGGGCTTCGCGGGGTTGTCGACTCTATAAGGCGACCAAAGAAATGCCTGTCCGAGAATGTTTTCGCAGGGTTCGGGTTCGGGATCAAACTTCGAGTCACAGTGCAGCCATATACAGAAGCAAACAGGCAAACACAAAGTTATGAAAAGCAGCCAAGCTACACAGCCAGGATGAGAGCAGGTCGACCGGGAGCATCGACCATTGCAGCGGAAGTAATATTCCGGAGCCACGCAGACATCCATCCATGTTCGAAAGTCCATGCCGCCGTAAAGCATGACCTTCATATCATAGGTTGTGTCTGGCAGCGGCAACGTCCCATGCAGTTCCATTCGCTCCCCACGCTTGTCCGTCGTCAAAAGTTTCATCTCCTGCCACTGCTTAAAATCTTGCGCAGCAATGCGCACCTCGAGCAGCGCCGCAATGCTCTCCCCGTCCGTTCCCGCCTGATGCTCTTCTTTAAAGCGGTACGTGCGACCACAAAGATGATTTCTTCGCACGGGGTCGTAGCCTCCTGTGCCACTTGTCACAGGAACCAGCATGTCCATGTTCCCGGGCATCGGCGCGGCCACGCCGCGACGGTTGCAGTCGCGGAAGAATGACTCCAAGGCGAGCTCACTGCGCATCCAGAGCGGCAAAGTACCCGAAGGTGATATAGCAATCGCGCGTAACTCTTTTCGCTCCACGACTCGTGCGGCCTGCACTTCCGCCAAAGCCACGAAGTAAGTAAGCGACATGGCAAGGATGAACACACGCCTGACACGGGGTCGGCGCCTCCTGTGTCGAGCTCACGAAAGCCACTTGAGATGCGCACGTCACAGAATGCTCACGAAAGCCACTTGAGATGCGCGCGTCACAGAATGTGAGAAAGGAACAGCAACAGGGTGCAGTCTTCAGACGGCTTCTTCTCCTCCCGTAGCATGTTCTGAGATGCGAACGTCGAGAAGATCGGGGTCCCGGAAGGGTCACGAAACCTCAGTCATATGATGAACAGCTCAGGAACTTGAGGTGTGCACGGCGTGTTAGAATTCCAGCAGGGAACGTACCAGAATCAAAGACATCAGACAGCTAGATGCGGCACTCCAGCTGTCGGAAACCAAGGTCGATGCCTCTGGGCTGCCTGACGTCTCCAGCAGGATAACAACAGGCTGCAGGCTTCAGATGGCATCTCTTCCCGGAACATGTACTGAGAGGTGAACAGCAGGGAGATCGGATCATTGGTCGTGGAAGGGTCGCAAAACCTCAGTCATATGATGAACTGTTTAGGAACTTGAGGCGTGTACGCCGTACTAGAATTCTCACATGGAACGTATCATAAGCAAATATGTCAAACGGTTTGATGCGCCACTTCACCTGTCGGACACAAAGGTCGATGCCTCTGGGTTGTCTGCTGTCTCCAGCAGGATGACTTGCGCAAGCCGCTGAACGGCTCTGATGCAATTGTGCGACCTTAGAAAGACATGTAGCACCAGCGTTACGTGTAGCACATGTCTGTTGCAACCGATATGCCGCACACTCTCTACTTGGACACCCGCAACTAAATCTGCCGGCACGTAACATCAATCTTGTTTTAATGCACAGATACGAGGCATCCTCGCTTTCATACAAGACTCAAGACACGTCGCAGGGTCGATGCCTCCGGCGACGTGGCCGAATCGACCCATCACATCTGACCTTTTGCCACGAATTTCAAGCTATTCTCGGAATGCCAATGTTCCGGCCACCAATCTTGCCTCCAGTCACGCTGTTTATCCCACCGATATCGTTCCATGTGGGTTACAGAAACGCGATAGCGATGCTCCAAGGCAAAGCGCAGCATCTCCACGAACGCCACACTCCGGTGCTTGCCCCAACTACAGTTGACTGCAACCCAGACCGGTTTGGGATGTTGCTTCGCGCTGAATCCTTCAATGTGATCCAAGACTGCTTGCATGATCCGTTGCGCCTCCATGTTGCCCTCGACCGCCATCCGGGTTTCAGGAACCAATCCCGAAGGTCGCTTCGGCGGCCGATTGCCAAGGTGCTCGGAAGCTCGACGGTCGTAGCCGGGCGTGCGCAAATCTCGCAAATCGACATAAATGTCAGCACCAGGCACCGTCTGGTAGTAAATCCCGTAAGACACGATCTGTACTTCTTTTTCCGTATCCTTACGCTAATCGACATGTGCAAATTGCGTATATGAAAAGTATATGAAATAGGTATGAGACTCATAGCCGCACATCACTCACAAGAATAAGCACGACAACGAAAAAGATAACCGAACAGGCGGCATCCTCTGCGTCAGAGCTCTCGACCTGCTCCCACTGAGCGGATTGATCACAAAAACAATTGACATATTTAGTCGGTAAAGCAACGCGAACTAGCAAGTGCACCGAAAAAAAAGGGCACAGTCAACAGACTTAAATCCCGCCTCTGCTTCTGCTGCTTCGTCCCAGTGCCATTCTTCCTCCGGGCTCGCGGGGTCGATGCCTCCAGCAAGCTGGAAGTCATCTCCCAACACGGCGATGTGTGCGCCGTCGCACATGCTCGTCACGCGCGGCGCCTTGCCTCTTCGCCAGTCCAGATTTTTGTCGTTGACCACCCCATCAACCGCAGGCTTGTCATCAGGACGAACTTCGAGAAAGGGATCCCAAGCTTCCATAAATTCCTCTCCTTTGTCCGGTGGGGCATTGACCGCAATCCAAACGCCCGTCACTGACACGCCTTCTGGCTTGCTGACCCACTGAGTGCCGCCCTTTGGGTTGTCGTAATCTACCATGAGCTCAAAGATGGCTCGACAGTACGACCCATCTGCAAACATAGCCTCAGTCGCGAATCAAAATCATGATATTGATATGAAACTGTGCAGCAAAATCTACATGACACCAACATAAACTATCTCCGACAAGGAACTTGAGGACGAGCGTAACTGAACGCGGTTGCAAACACAGGCTGCAGTAGATGCCCGCAGCCCAAAATTCGTGCCCCTTGGATTCATCATCGGACGCCAGTAACTGCCCAGCCGCCAGAACCGACGACCAGACCCCGTACATCCAAGTGCCATGGAAAGCCTGCTTCCACGTCGCCCCGGGCGTCACCTGCCGTACCGAGTCTGCGACGACAGTTCTGCGTTTCGCGA